TATATATATATATATATACATACATACATATATATATATATTTACCAACTGTGATCAATTTCGGTTCTCTGCTTTAATCTGACTCAGATCACACTGGCCTAGTTGTGATAGCATGGTACCCAGCGGTCTCTAAGGAATGCCTCCAGTGCTTCTAACAGAAGTACAATGAATTATTCAGCAGACATAAAAACAAACCACATTATCTAGTATGACAACATTACACCACTTTGAATACTCTACTCTCCTTGGTGCTCACCAAGAGACCAACATTTAAACAACATTTGGATGCCGATTTTATTGACAAGCAAGACAGGGAGAATAAAATTAAATGGTAGGAGGAGGAAAACTATAAAGTATCACGCAATTAAAGAATGCTTTCAGGTGGCAGAAAACATATGAGAATAATTACAATGATTAGGGAACTAAAGAGATGGGGGTGGGGGTAAAATTGTAAAAATGCTTATTCAAATAAATGGTCCATAGGGGCTCTGGTTTTGAAATAATTGCACAGTGCTAAATGTAGAACACTTGCAATTATGACAGATAAATAATAAATATGTATCTTCAAAGAAACTAGGCTGTTCTCTGTAGGTGGGTGGACACCCATTAAACATCCCCCCATCCATTATGATTGAAAGGTCAGCATGGATTCATAATGGACTCTGCATTAAAAGGATGTTAAGCTTGCGTTAAGCTCAGTTGACTGCATTTGTGGCATAATGTTTATTACAACAGAAAATATTTTCGCCTTGTCAATAGTTTTAAAAATAAAGCAAAAATTACGGGTTATAGTAAGGCATTTTCAATGGAAATAAACAGTAGAATTGTGCACCATTCATAATTTTATTAAAAATGCCTTTTAAATTCCTGACTTCGATTTGAGTTAGCAAACATAAATCAGAATTGCAATTTGAATGTAGGGAAGCATTCAAATTAATTTAAATAAAATTAATTGAAATTCAAATTTTAAAAGTTTGAAAATTGACAAGTTTAGAAAAGTTGAAAGTTTGAAGGTTGATAGAAAGTTTATGTATTTCATCATATTTAATAATTTAACTTTTGTCGCAATATGCCTTTAAGATGCAAAAGGTGTATTAAACAACGGACATATGTTATTTTTGGCAAAGTAAACAAAGTTCCTCACCTGTGAACAGAGAGGGGCAAAGACATTCGTAAGGTGGGAGATTTGTGTATGCTGTTCTCTTGCTCAGACAGGTGCCTCCATTTAAGCATGGCTGTTCATAGCATCCATCAATGTTCTCACAATAAAGTCCTGAAAAGTGTTTGTGGCACTGACAGCTAAATGAATCGTCTTTAAATGTAGTTCTGCATTCACCATTTCCCGAACACAGGCGAAGAAGAGGTGAGCTCTGGCAGTGCTGAGGCTTTACCAGAAGTGCAATGCGTAGGCCAAGTCTACACATATGACTACTGCCTCTATGAACAACAGTGAAGTAATTCATACCGGTCTTCAGCCATTTCGTTTCCACTTGCAAAGTACCATTAATACTGTTGGCAAACACCAACTGCTCCTTTCGTGGCTCTAAAATCAAGCAGTTTTCAAACTCCTCTTTGGACACATTAATTAGGTGGATACCATATTGTTCCAGCGTTCTGTCAGCAGAAACAAACATCACATCTCCAAGTTGAAATTCCAGAGGGCAAAGCTGAGGAAAGTAATATGGCCCAGTTGTCCACAAGTGTCCATTTGTTTCTGTTTGTCTACTCCAGCACTGGATCAAGCTGCTGCAGGTGTTCTCCATGAGGGTCCACCTCACACTGATGTTCTTTGGCTGAGTGTACCATTCACGAGTCGTGGCTCTGCGGCAGGTTACCTGGCTGTAGACGGTACTATCTATTACACAGCTGAGCAGCAAGGCAATGATAACTAGGTCTGGGTTTCTCATGTTTGTCTTTCCTCAACCTTGACTGATTTTTTATTTAGACACTTGATTTCTTCAGCCGGAAACTTTTCTAGAACTCTGAACTGTAGTTTCTGTAGGAAAACAAGCAAATCTCTGTAAGCAAATATGTACAAGGCAATAATGTAGCATGTTGCAAAAATTGCATGATTACAACTTTGAAAATTGAAAAACCGTAATTTATGTATAGTAACATAGTGCTACAGGATTAGTAGTGGTGTCTGGAACACCATGAGTCAGGAGACTGTAGTGTAACACTGTGAGTTTTTTTTAAAAGATTGTGTTATAAAAGATAGTCCTCATAAACAGCTGTTGTATTCTCAATTGAATTGTAGTAGAGATTTGGACCAGGAAACAATATTTTATACATCATGACAACAAGCATATAGAAAGACCTTTAAAAAAAAAAACTTATCACATTCAGTACAGACTGCAAACTCACATTCACAACTCTAAAATATGATTAGTTAAAAGATTCAGCAAACAACCTTAACTAAGCAATCTGTACATTTTTACAATATTAGGTTTACAAATGAACAACAGGACCCAACTATGCAGTTAAGTGAGTTCAACAGAATGAAGTCACATACAGATGAGAACTGTTGTTATATGGGCAGGAGTTTAATTCTTAAAAGTCAACTGTCTTCAACTGTTGTCTTCCACAGAAAAAAATTAGAGCTTACATGTTTGGAATAACATGAGGGTGAGTAAATAATGACATAATTGTTAGTTTTGGTTGAGTTATTCTTTTAAATTGTAGATATAGCTCCTGTGATGAATAAAACAACATCAACTTTAGTTGTAAAACTGGATAAATAAGGAACTTGTGCATAGAATGAAAATTAAGAAAAACTTCAGCAAATATAACATACATTGAATGGCTCAAGCTTTAAATGTAGTTTCAGGGTTCTTTCACAACCCTGCAGAACCATGGATTTCTCCCACAGCTTGGCATCGCTCTGCCCCCAGGGAATCAACTTCAGTAAAATGGCCAGCTCTCTGCTCTACCTGCCTGCATGAGGCTAGTCAAACTAATGAGCAGTCACATTTGACTCTCCTTTCCTGTGTGCTCTCAATCTTGGACTGCTTGCCTGGAAGAAACATTGCCCTCAAATCTCTCACCACGAGTGGCAAGGAGGGCAGTAACTGGCTGCTCCACTTGTTATAGTCACTGAGGTTTCTGTCAGGTGTGTTGCACTCACTTTTCTTCGTTGTGTAGACTGAAATGAAATTGCATTTGCCTTCATTTAAATTTTTTTTTTTTACAGGAAAATGTTATCTTTGACAACATTTAATTGTTAAAGAGATAACAATGACAATTATGAAACACAGGAAAATATATATAAAAAAATGTTTGTAACCAAACAGTTTTGGTGACCAATGACTTCCATTGTTTTGACATTTCTCAAAATATCTTCTTTTATGATCCCCAGAAGAGTGAAAGCCATACAGGTTTGGAACAACAGGAGGGTGAGTAAATAACATAATTTCCGTTTTTGTGATATATCCCTTAGGTCATGAACTGAGAAATCAAAATTCCCTTGATCTTTTGACATGTAAGAGGTCATTGTACTATAAAAACATCCTGTAAGTTTCAGAACTCAAAACTTTCTTGTTAGTCTAAAAACAGCTTATATTGAAGCCAATCTGCCAAAATGACTGATTGTGGAATGTGACACTTTATGACGTAATAGTGTGGCTAAACACTATCTCAGCAGAAGAAGATCAATGCCTGCTTCTACAGCACTGCCTGTTTAGCCCCGCCCACCGATTCGCGCATGTAGTGTAAATAACGAGAGAGGCAAACACAGGTCTACGCAGAAATCAAACAATAAAGATGGCTCTAAAGACAACAAGACGCTGTGCAGTGCCGCGTCAGTGAGAACTTGGTCCTTTGTTCACTTCATTTTACCGCAGATTCATTTACAAAGCACAATTAGGCGCAGGATTTTCAGAAAGACTGAAACTAAAAGACCGTCTATATTAGTTCTGACAGTAATGTCACACCACACAAGTGTGAGTAACTGTTTATTGTTTAATGTGGTCAAAAAATGTAAAAATGTAAAAATGTTGATAACATTATAAGTGGACCTCAGAGAACAGTACAAAGTAAAAAACAAAGGCAGTTCATGACCCCTTTAACATAACAAAGAGCACTTGTATTGTAGATCAAATAGCTGCCACTAGAGGCCTTGATGTCTGTAGCTTAATCATAGAAATTACTTGAATGGCCTCTTACCATAGGCAGACAATTTCCACTTTTGATTTGCCATTATAGGATCTACAGTCTATCTAAATTGGTCTAAATTACGTCAATAGCATACCTATCAGAATCAACATATTAAGACCTCTTATCTAACTACATAAATTCACATATGCTGTTACAGTCTTGGAACACTTATCTCTATAATTGTTGTTGCCATATACATACAGAAATCTGATCACAAACCCAGATCTCTTGAAATTAATATGGTATTTTTTAACCTTGCATGGAAGCCACTAATCTGACCTGACAGGACATTGCAATTAAATGTAAAGCCGTGGAAAAATTAAGTGCACCCTATGAAATATTTTGTCCTTTTTTTTTTTTTTTTCAATATATGTGGGCATATTGATACTGGAAGTTTATTTGGGCAGTATTGATGGGTCAAGATAATATAATTTCTAGGGCTGTCAATCGATTAAAATATTTAATCGTGATTAATTGCATGATTGTCATGAGTTAACTCGTGATTAGCCACAATTTAATCGCACATTTTTATCTGTTCTAAATGTACCTTAAATTAATACTTTTCAAGTTTTTAATACTCTAATCAACATGGGCATGGACAAATATGGATGCAAATTTATGCAAATGTATGTTTATTATTAGTGAAACCATACTCAACATAGAGCATAAAGAATTCAGATACAGGTTTTCACAAAAACAAGTTTTTTAAACCATTTTTAAGAAATTGAATCAAATGTCAAAGTATCAATTATTATATTGATTTAAACAATTATCAATAAATTATGATATTAATTAAATAACATCTAACTATATTTTACTGGGTTAATTGTTTAGATTTTTATAATGCATTATCTTATTATCGATCTACCAGTTCACATTTACAACTGGGTGTTTGCTGCATAAAAACATTGGTGGATGTTCTCATTCAATTCATTCTCTGCCAGCAGATGGCGCTGTCGGAACGGCAGAAATATAGCGGTTTTGACAGTCCTAATAATTTCACAAATTACAGTGGTAATATGTCTTTGAAGTATTTTCTTCAACAAGACAACAAGAATGTCTTCAGTTCAGTTGTGCTCTGTGGAAAAAATAAGGACACCCCTATATTTACCTGGTATTTGCCACTTTGGCATGAAACCTAAAGACACATAAGTCTCAATAACATTCCTTCTGATTGACTCGGGCAGCTGCTTTGATCTTGGCATGATGGTATCATATACTTCAGTGCTACATATCATGCCCAAACAAGATATATATATAGGTTTATGTAAGATGTCGCCTTCTTCTTTAATGATATTCTACCAATTTGCACTTGCTTCTACTAATTGATGCATCTGATTCTAATTTTAGACATGATCAATTTTACATTGATAAATATGAGAGTGTACCAACATTTTCCACAATATACAGATCATTACAAAATGTTTGTACAAAATTTGTTAAATTATATAGTATACAGTTAATAATATATTACCGGTTCATACCGAATACCGGTGTTTATTTTTGTTATGATATGAATTTTTAAAATACCGCAATACCAGTGTATGTTGCTTAAACAACGTTCGGAACGCGACACTGTTTGAAAGGGGTCCCTTTTCACAGTTGCACTGTGGTGAGGGAACAGCTGTATGTGTTACTAAGCGTGAAAGTTCCGAAACTGAAGCTGTAGAACTAATAGAACATGATGACACAGAAGAACTCATCCACAATATCCACATTGACCGCCACAAATATCCAGCACCCCCTGCCATCAGCTCCCGCGACTCACACACACACATGAGGCAACACACTGAAGCAAGACTATGAAGTAATGGATACTGAAAGAAATCGGTCAACTTCCGATTTCTAATTATGTTCCTTCGAGCCTTGGCATTTCAAAGTGCATCAGAAATTAACAGCCACTGCTGTGTAATGTAATTATGCGAAGACCTCATCTTCTCCAAAAGTATGTGACTTTAATTAGAGCACAGGGTCTCTCGCCGAAGACGCGGACATACTGGTTGGACACATCCTTAATCTGTTTGGACAGATATTATCTCACTGTACAAAAAGCATTTTTTTTTTTTTATGGAGCTTGGACCAGTCGCTCCGGAGGTGGGGATGTTCATCATAGCGCAATCAGAAGCTAGTTATTTCTAGAAAAATTATTTCCGAAGGAAAAAGGAGACCTAAAAAAGGGCACTTCTGTGTCAAAAGAGTGCAGTGCAAAAGCACAATTTTATTTTATTTATTTATGTATTTATTTTATTTTATGTATTTATTGCTCCAAAGTATGTGAAGCCATTAAAATTCACCTGATTGATTGAACAAGAGCTGCAAAAAGGCCTACAAATATGGGCTGCCAGATCAGCCAATGATGTCTCTTCAGCATTCAGCCTGGATAACAAGGAAGCTGCTCACACATGCACAAAACAGACAACAAATCAATAGACACATCTAGACCGTCTTCAGTGACCCTCATGACCTACAAGACCATTTATTAGTTACGAAAGAGAGGCCCTAAACAGTCCATCACATCACGATGTTAAGAAAGACAGCTAGATTGTCAAAGACAACTAGACCTACAAATGATGCAGGAATAAAAACATGTAAATAATACACTTCCATTGGAAATGTTATTCTCTTTTATTTTATTCTTAAATCATAGTTTAAGCTATATACATAAAACTCACCACTGTACTTGAGGTTGTATTGAAGTATTTTTTTTCCATGATTTTTTTAAAATTATAATATAATTATGATTATAATTATGACTTTAGGGACACTCCCAATGTAGTGATTTTCCCCCTAATAATTACATCTTTACTCCTCGCAAATGTGAATTTTCCCCCATAAATTACAACTACAAGTCTCACAATGTGACCTTATTTCTTATATTTAACTTTATCTCATGATTACCTGCTTTATTTTTTTTACTCTGAGTGAGGTGCACAGGCTTTTTCTTTTCAACTCTTAATACTGTATTTCTTACTAAACCTATCTTTGAATACTGCAAATATTGTTGGTTCTATGACAGATTGCTTGTAATGTTCCTCTTATGTAAGTCACTTTGGGTAAAAGCCTAAATGAATAAATGTCAATGTATAGTTCAGTGATTCTCAATTAAGTCGTGTTTCCCATATTTGACACTCATTTTAGGACATGGAGCGCTCTGCTAAGAAGCAGATGAGCTGAATCAGGTGAGAGACGTACAAGATGTGCAGAATTGGGGGGCCTCCAGAACCAGGATTGAGAATTATTGGTATAGATTAAGTACTACTTCATAAATACATTTACTTCAGCTTCTCATCAGAATATTACTGTTCAGATTCAGTTCTCATTTCTCTGCTCTGAATAATCCTCAGTGCTCCCATTTGTGTCCAGTGCTCAAACCAGAAAGAAAAGCCTTAGAAAGAATCGATGCCACAAAAGTCCCAAAGCTAAATCATGATTAACCTGCTATTTGAAAAGCCTTGTAGCACTGGCAGTCTAAACCCGTTCTTAAGAGCTGAGTAGTAACCTTTTGACTAGAGATAGACATGAATAGTGTTTCTGACACAAGTCTATTAAATTCAATATACAGTATGCGATCTATTGTAGTTAATTTATGTTGGCCTTCTTATCCAGATGGTATGCTTGGCAAGCATAGGCATTTTGTACAGGCCTGTATTAGGATAATAGTACAATATCTGAAATGTTTTGAGCAAAATATCACATGCTGGGTTCATTTAAAAACCCATTTGCAAAATCTTGACTGACAGTTCATAAAGAAATTGCTATCAACATTTTGATAGCACCAGAAAAGCCAATATCTGAGCACTCTTTACCACCTGATGCTCAACTTTAACTGTGATTTTAACATTTTCAGCCAGCATAAAATCACACCCCACATTAGCATGCAGCTGAATATTGCTTTAGCCTTCATTCTTAAGGGACTGAATCAGCAAAAACATTACCTGGACTTTAAGAATGAGAGAAAGATTGCAGGTTAAAAAGGCTCTGAAGAGAACATGATGAAGTAGCTGTTAATGGCTATTCATATGATCACAGTATCGATTTTTGAATGAATCCAATTATCCAAATGCTTTTATATATGGTTAATCATTTCTTGAAACACTTAAAGTTGTGAATTTATTGTGCTTTCACACTCTGTCCGGAGTAATGTTGAGGGTAAGCATATGCTTCAGGACTCCAATCCATGTAATTCTTTGTTTTAAAGAAATTATGGCAGTAAAGTCACTTCCTGCACAAAAATATTGACCCACATATTAAATGTTTAATAAAAGGCCAAGGCCAGGAATATGAGCTTTTCAGTTAATTCAGCAACTGTATCTTTCCCACTGACAGCCCATCAGCTCTATAAATATAATATACGACATGAGCGCAGTATTGATAAATCTACTGTGTGCTCTGTAAAGACGCAAAATGATACTGATGACTATTTTAAGTATTATTCTCAATTTATGACTTACATTTTAAGCTGTTACCAGCCCACAGCCATCGATTATGACATGAAAAAAAAATCTTCTCTATCAAATGAAACCTCTGAATGAATCTTTTTCTAGAATCCAGGTGATGGGCATGACAAAAATAGAGATACAACTGAGAAGCCATTAACTTACTTTGCAAAGTTCCACTTCAGACTGGAAGGATTTTGTTTGTCCCGTGGGTTTTCAAAAAGCTCTCCAGGTGAATTCAAAGCACTGAAACTCGTTTAACATCTTTTCCTCACTGTCACAGTCCCGTCACGGCTTTGTGTGCTTAATCTGACTACTGAAGCCACCATCTGTTCATTATTGTCTGTTCCCAGAACAACAAGTGCTTGCTGCTTAAGTTCGTGCTGCAGACCAATGCCAGACATGAAGAGGTTAATAAATCCATGCAAGCATTTTATGCAAATTATGTTGTAACAAACTGGAGTGTTTATTGTGATGTTTGCCAGTGGGCGGAGGTTTTGCAGCATCAGCAGCATGAGTTGAGACTGTTTCTATGGTTACCTGACGCTCACGAGGGTGCATCTGCTCGGCACTTTCATTGGTTCTGTGCATGAGAGGATGCTAGACCTTTAAAACCTCTTTGCTGTGAAATGCAAATGCTTTCTCCAACTCAAAAAATATAAAACAACAACAAAAAACATTTGTGGTAATATTATATAACAGAAAAGCATACGCTACTGTATTAAAACTTTTTCAAATGATGAATTCGTGATGATGTGGTGGTACCATGAATATTGGTAATACCATGATACGTTTATGTAAATACTGATGTGCATAACTTTTTTTCTGTCATCATTTACGTTGTTCCAAACCTGTATGAGTTTCTTTCTTGTGTTGAACACAAAAGATGCTGATCCACATTTACTTCCATGTATGGAAAAAAATACTACGCATGTCAATGGCTCCCAACAACTGCTTGGTTACTAACATTCTTTAAAAGATCTTCTTTTGTGTTCAACAGAAGTAAGACATTTATACAGGTTTGGAACAACATGTAATGTGACATTTCCCTTTAATGTTGTTATATTTATTCAAATGTACTTTTGTGAGGCAAGTTTTAGAAGAATATTGTTTCCCATACTTCTTATTGCTTAATAGGTCAAACTTTTCTGAGCTCTGATTGAATCTAACCAGTCCTGCTCCCTGGGCAGTAAATGTTTCCAAATAATGGGGATTTATAAGGCTATGTAAATAGTTTTATTTAAAGCTGCAGTCCGTACGTTTTGCCTCTTTGTCGCCATCTCTGTTTGAAAACCTGGAACTGCAGCTATGTGCGGAATTATCTAGCTTGCGTGGGTTGTGAGTCGGCACGGCTCCAGCGCGGATGAATCTAATGTTCTGAAGAGTATGTGTGTGTGGCAGTCAGTCACCGCACCGGTGTGGATATTTACTGTACTTCGCAATCACAGATTCTAGCCTACGTCTTGGAATATGACCCAAATAAGATGCCCTAGTTATGTTTCATTGCTCCCAGGTGTGTCTCATCATCCCCTCCGCCTGTGTGTATTTAAAGTGTTCCCAGTCCCTAGTTCTCTGTCCGCTGTTAAACGTCTTCCTGAGTTCGTCTCCCTTGGTTCATGCAAATAAAGTCCTGTTAAAGTATTCTCCAGCGTCTCCTCATTCCTCGTGTGTGTGCACCGTGACAATAGCCTAGTAGCCAGGACAACTTCTTTGTTTACAGACATGATGTAATGACGCAGTGCCATGCTCGAATTTCCCTCGAAAACCTACCCGTACCACTCAAATTAGAAAACATTATTATAAGCTAACTGTTGTGAATCTGGCTAAAGTAAGGTGATAGTTTTGAACACTGACTGGTTATATACTTGCTCAAATATTGATTTCGGGTCATTATTAACCAAAAAAAGTTACGGACTGCAGCTTTAAGTTTAATTTAAAATCAATAGAAGTATCAGCTCTCTTTATTGTTGTTTATATTGTTCTGTTATAGGTTCAGGGGTTGGTTGCATAAAATGCTTTGACTTGTTAGAAGTTAGTCATCTTTTTTCTTTTCTTTTTTTTTTTTCTTTAAGACTGGTCATAACTTTTTTTTTAGTCAGTTATTTAATGTAGATTAGCCAAAGTGTTTTTTTATTCATGTCCCAATCACATTTTCTTGGTTAAATAAACATTACTTACACTATCAGAAAAGAAAAAAACACTATTTTATTTTTTACATTAACAATGTAATAAATATTCTATTTATTAAAGCCAAGTATGAATCTAATCAAGTTAACGTTTTAAGCATTTTACATTTATTCCAAAACAATAACTCAAGGCAGTAACAATTTAAACAATATATTTTATTTGTGAACTTATGTTCAGCAATTCTTTTGAATAGTTAAATTTTTACTGTTTTTTTTTTCTTTTTATTTTTTGATCATCAGTCATCAAAGCTAGGTTAATATTGGTCACAGACACTGAAATTTACTTTAAATTTCACTAAGCTGATTACTCACTAAAAACTCCCAACGATCATGTTTTATGGCCATTTCAAGTCTTATTTTGATGTAACAAAGTGGTTATAAGTAAGTGTGTGAGTTGTTTAAGAGAGAGCTGCAAAGGTGCATTGGTTTATTTGTCAAAAGTGATCATCTTTTATTGGTGCTGTCTGTACCTGGAATCTAGAACAGGCATAATACTGAGCATGCATAATGTTAAAATGGGGAGAGAAGATGGCTTTTACCATCGCATCTGTTTTTATAATATTCACTGTTATTTTCATGGGTTAAAAGAAGAGTATGATTTTAAAATGACATTCAAACTTTAAGTTTGACTTTCAGAATTCTCTTATGAATAATGACATTGAAAAAACATTAAAATGAGCCACTGCACGCATGGCATATATGATTCCATTCCTATGATTCCATTTTTACATGGTTGTTTCAGGGAGGAAAAATGAAGTAGCTTTAACAATCAAAATGCATGGTGTGTGCCTCGCCGTGATTATTGCTTCTGCTTGCAATCAGATTTCATTCTATTAGCACTTCTAATATTCTTGTGAAAACTCTGTTTATCAAGACTGATATGAATGTAATGGGATTTGCCTAAATTCTAGTCTTTTTTAAAATCTCCTTCATCTCTGTCTGCTCCTTTGAACAATCACCTTCATGCTACCTTAAGCCTAACAATGATTACTTCAATAAAATAGAAATTCATTAACTGAGGTCATGCCCTAATAATAATAATAATAAAAAAACGTCTCTGTTTTATGGATAAGGCTCTAACTAATGCCAGCCATTCAATCTGTAAGGATACAGATACTGAGAGAAATAACTTTGTGACATCACACAAAATACATTACAATGCTATTTAATCTAAACTTGCATCGGTTTTCATTCAACAGCCATTATAAGTTGGACAGGATGGTTGTCACTAGCAAACTTTTAATATTATTCAGTATTATTATTTGTATATTTTCCCACACACATTAGATTGGTTGTTATCGGGACTAGTCAATTTTGTCTTCTACTGCAGTGACCAAATTGACTAGTCCCAATAACAACCAATCTTTTGTTGGTATTGTAAACAACCGGATGCCCTTATTGGGCATCTAGTACTGAGCAACTCTGTCTGCAACTGGACTTATTAACAAGCAAACCTGTGAAGATCAGCAAATTATCAACTGAACTGACTGTGAACATTGGGCACCCCAAGTGCCCCAGAAAGTACTCACCGTTCACACATGACTAATCAACCAATTATAGCAGCAACTGCATAATTACATCGCGTAATTACGTTTACTGTGATTGGACTAGCAACTGAAAATAATCAAGCTCCATACAGAATCGAGGTGAAGGTTTTGATTGCATGTGGGCTCAGCAGCAACCTGTCCCTGAATGTCAATAAAAACTAGAGAACACATGTGTGCCTAACCGAGTTAAGCACCCAATCAAAAAAAAAATTTTTGCAACATGTATCAGTAATATTTTGTTATATTATAGCAAATGTTTTACCATAGCTGATTCCTTTTATTTTTAATAATTAAATGGAGAGTATTTTTTCTTTCCATGACAGTTCAAAGAATTGTGTCTATACAGTATATATACAGTATATATATAGTATATATGTTTACTGACACTGTGTGTGTGTATACAGTATATATATATATATACACACACACACACTGACAATGACATGCCTGCATACCTACAGAACGTACTGTACTTCGAGAAGTAAGTTCTTTATCAAATTTACTTTACTTTGATGGAAATTTTAGTGGAGCACTACTGTTAGAATTGTGATTTACAGATTATTTGAAAATGCCCCTCAAACCCAGTGAATGTGATTTCCAGATACACATATGCAGTTGCAATGTGATTACAAGCTCTACTGCACATTTGGGGCCACCTCAAAGAATTAAATATCTTGAAATATATCTGAAATTCATGCATGGATGAATGAAATGGATAAATGGATGACACGTAAACTGTGTCAAATTTATTCAGTCAGTGATTGGGCAATTAATTTGATGAAACTCATTTTATTCCTCTGTGACTTGAAAACACCATCTCTGGGTTTATACGATGTAAATATTTGTTTTTGACCAAATTGAGATTATGTATTCTATTTGATCATGCTATTTGCAGTCGTGTTCACATTTGTTTGTTTATTGGAGCGCTGGGATAAACAACATTTCTGATTGCAAACTATCTTTTAACCAGCGAAGAGGGAGGGGTCCGTGTTACAGAGCATATAAAAAAATTAATAACTTTATTTCTAGGGCACTTGCCAATGCTCAGCTTTAGCACTATGGGTTTTCCTTCAGTTTTAGGCTAGATTAACGAGTTGCCCTTTTGCTTTGAACGTTACCCATATTTCTAATCCCTGCGGCACAGGGAATCTTCATTAGAGAGAGAAATATTGACCTTCAAGTGTCTTTATGAGAATGTATAGGAGTGTAAAATAAACATTTATCCATGTGACTCCTCAAACTAGCATCATCATTTGGACCTTAAAATGCCTCTTACCACCTTTTTCATCATATCAGAGTCCAGGAACCGTGGCTCTGCTAGAATGGAGGCACATGCTAAATGTCAGGCCTACAAGGATATTGGTATATTCTCAACAGTGCTGGGGAGTAACTAACTAGAAGTAGCGACGCAGTACTAACCTTACTGCATTTATCAGAAGGGTGACAGTAGGTCAGCTTTTGTTAAAAAAAGTGTAGCTTTTCCAGTGACAAGCTACTTTTTCCAGCAAGTAGCAGTGCATTGTGAAAAAACC